GGGGCTCATTCTCAGATTTTTGAAATGGTCAGCCTTCGTCGACCGGTCGATGTTCTGGCTGATCCACTGCAGGTCGGTCTGCTGTTCGCGGTGGGCGAGCATGCATGCTACCCTGCCCTGTATTTAGACGTCTTCAGAGCACAAGTACATTATCTGCCTTCCAAGCACAGATGATACGGGTTTCCGATTCCCCTTATTGCTTGTGCGTCAATTGCGCTCTGAAAACATTAAAGTGAATGGTTACGTAAATGCTTGATTGGGATTATGATCTCTTCGTTCTGCTTGTGCCTGCAGGATGCGCGCAACTTTGAGATTATGATTCTCCCAAGTCTCGTGCCAGCAATGCAGACGGCCGCCGGAGACATGTTGCTGCTAATGCTGAAGCATGCGGGAACGGTGGCTGAAAAGGTTTGTGGACACTCATGCATTCTTTTTTGTCTCTGTTTCGGCACACTCTTCCGTCCCTTAAATGAAAAAAAATAATGATGAAAATGTCCATCTGTCAGATTCTTTCTCTCTCCTTTTTTCTCTGTCTTTATTTTGAAATCATCATTTAATCATGTTAATCATCAATACTTAAATTAAAATGATCTGAATTTATTTTCTTTTTACTCTTGTTGTTTTGCATCATTTCTCAAGCATGGATTACTTTCTGAAGCCATGAGAGACACCACTACATTCCTTTGCTCAAAATACAAACAAACCCGTCCGCTGTTCATTGCTATTCTCCTTTCTCTACCCTTTCTGTGAATCCTCGCCACTCCCAACAACCCAGTCCCCCTCCCACCCGAATACAATGCGTGGTTACTATATCTGCATTCGGGGCAACTTCGAGTCTAGATGCAGCAATAATGACCGTACGTTGTATTCGGGTGGAGACAGTAGCGTCTTTTAGCAGTCTATCTCCCACCGCCATGGGGGAGATTTCCCTCTTACCAACCAACTCACCTCCACAAGCTGTTTCTCCCATAGGGCGTACTTAAACTGCCCCATCTCATCAGTTGCAAGTTCCCTTGCCAGGTGATTACACATACTACCCTCCTCCCTTTTCTCTCCACGAATCAACTCTTTTCTCTTCTGAACGGGGATAGCCCCTCTCCTGCTTTCCTGCCTCCTGTTCTCCCACTTCAGGGGACCCTTTGCCGTCCGTCCCCCCCCACCCCCTTCCCCTGTCCACAAACCCCACTTCCCGTTATAACCTTCCTCGTCCTCAGTGGTGTATCAATCCTCTGCACCTGGCTCTTTGGAGTCAACACATACTTCCTGATATTTGCAACCGACCTCTGCCCTCTTCCGTGCACGATTTTTATCCCCCTGGTCGCTCTCCCGCGGACTTCTTTTTACCTGAGCTATTGTCTAGTGAGCAGTCTGCTCCTGTGTGTGAGCCTTGACATGTCCACCATGACTATCGGTTTCACCCCGAATAGAACGCCTGGTCATTATCGCGCTGCGTCTGGACTGAAAGTTGCTGGGACTACAGCGATAATGACCGGGCGTTCTTTTCCGGTGAAGTAGGTGGGGCCATACCGTTTGACGCACGGCCTCCCCACAGTGGCCCTTTTGCAGGAGCACCTCGCTCCCACTGTCGTAACCCTCCCTCTCCTGTGGTGCCTGAGCTTGCGAACGAGTCTCCAACCCATCCTCTAACGCGCTCCTTTTGCTGTGTGAATAATCTCACCACGCCATACTTGTTTGAGGCGAATCTCTTTGGTGAAAGATTGCCGTCGGAATATAGCGATGCACTTCTTGCTGTTTGGTTACGGGTAAGAACGTTGAGCGATCAGGGAAACTTGGGTGTACTCTCGTCAGGACTTTGTGGGGTGCATCGACCCTCAATCCCACCCAGATTCAATTGAAAAAAATAAAATCTAGTGTGAGCATAGCCTGAGTCAGCAGGAATGCATCATGCATGCCAATGTGTTGGAACTTGGATATGTTCTCCTTCTTCTTTTTTTCTTTTTCTTTTTTATGGGTCATTGTTGCGCAGGGGCCATGCTATAAGCTTCTTTGTACTGTTCCATTTTTTTTAATGGATGACCTGAAGGACTTGAAAGTACGGTTCTCCTTTTTTGAGGGTCTTATTTTTTAATGGATGTGGTTGCGTAAGTTTCTGAGATTTCTCTGCTCTCTGTTGTCTGCATGCTTACTCCGGGAGAAAAACACTCCCCGCGCCGCAGCAGTCTGTTTCATTATTAACTTTCATATATTGATTTGCAATTTTCGGTTTACTTCCGAACTTTGTATTGTTTTGTGAAATCTCCTTGCGGATGCACTTTTTGATGCCGTCCTTCGGCTCGCAAGACACTCAAAAAGCGATCAAATCAATGCTCTTTTTGAGGCTCAACCGTCTGTTTTATTTATTGATTCTGAAATTCTCGGTTTAGTTCCGTACTTTGTACCATGGCAACCGTGGACCCGGACCCGGACACGGACCCGCACCCGGACATGTCTGGACCGGGACGGAGGCCCAGACATTTGTCTGCACTGGTCCAGACGTCTGGTAATCCAGACAGGCACCGGACAACCGGACATGACCGGACCCGGACCGTCCGGACCAGTCCACCAGCCACAAAAAATGTCCGGGCCGGGAAAAGAAGAAAAAAAAAAAAAACATTAGTAATAAGCAGTACTAACCACAGCTTACTGTCTTTCACTATTCACAACTTGACAGCTCAATAGAGTCCATACTGTCACAGACATTCGCAAAGGCTCACACAACACTTGAAACCAGTTCTCAACAGACCCATTGCAAGTCACTTCAGGAAAGAGTACGAAAATCAGAAAAAAAACACAACTTTGAATTTTGACTTTTCTAATTCATATTCATATGAAAATTGACAATTTAAACTGTCAAGTTATTCAGATCTGCGTACGAAGTACTAAGAACAGATCTGAGATCGGGTCAGGACCAGATCTAAGATGGGATCTCAGATCTGACCAAAATCCTCTCTCTCTCTCTCTCTCTCTCTCTCTCTCTCTAGATTACTCACCCAACACCCCCCCTTCTCTCTCTCTCTCTCTCTCTCTCTCTCTCTCTCTCTCTCTCTCTCTCGCGCGCGCGCGCGCTTGAAATTCTGTGGCGCTTTGCAGCCAGCGCTTCATTTTTGGAATCGTCCTCAGCCTCATCTGATGAACTACCAGCGTAGTACAGCAGCAGAGGGAGCTGTTGGAAGCGTCTGGCGGCGTCTGGTAGGCCTGAAATGGCCAAAAAACACCGGGGGCATTTTTTGGGGGCGGCCTAGGTTCCGAAAAACGTCCTAGGCCCCCCAAAAAAAGAATTCAAAATTTCCAAAAATAGGCCCAGTCCAGACCTACCGGATCAGACACCGGACCCATACCCAGACTGGACCGTCTGGATTCTGTCTGGCCGGTTGCAATGCTTTGTACTGTTTTGTGAGATCTCCTTGCTGATGCAATGATTTGATGCCGTCGCTTCACTTTTGATCGTTTTGTCCTTTGACTAATGCAGATATCCGGAGATGTGATAAAGAATCACCTGCTGCCGATGATGATGAGGGCATATGAAGACTCCGATATTCGAGTTCAAGAGGAGGCATTGAAGAGGACAATTGCCGTGTTAAACAAGCTAGACTACCAGGTTTGTTCTGTCTTCGTACATCTCGTTCAATGCCTAAGTAGTTTTCTATATTCATGTCGCCGCACTTTCACAGAGCCTTGTGTGAGGTTTCTATGAACGTTCATGATTCATCTGATATTCATCTGGTGTATGTGTTGTTCGTTTGTTTCTCCGCCGGTTAATTTGCATCCAGTCTGTCAAACAAGCTGTGTTGCCGCGTGTACACGGATTGGCGCTGAAGACAGCTTCTGCAGCGGTAATTCTCGCCTCTTCACTCTTTTCAAAAAAGTTTTTTTGAAGTTTTTTTGACAAGTTTTTCTACCCACCCTGCTCACCAGTTTCATGCTCACAGTGCGCATTTTTTTCGTTAATTTATGAAACAGGTCCCAACGGTCCGGGCTCCAGAATAGTCCATATGCATTGCAGAGTGTCAGCGCAGTTCCTTTGCCCCCGCAAGACATTTATAATCCTCCTTTTCCCTTTTTCTTCTTATTTTTTCATTCAAAGAAGAAGTAAAAAAAAAAGAAGAGCAATTCGACCATTTCCTTGATCTGTAAATGCTGTCCTTGTTTACAGCAGCAGCTCTTCTATCCTTGCAAATTCCGGAGTGTGGGCCTCGCTGCACTACTCTTGAAAGGTGCAAAACGAGAGTGAGTCTTCCGCTAGAACATGGAAAGATACAGCGACATGATTTTTGTATTTTGTGCATTTCAAGAGTAGTGCAGCGAGGCCCTGTGCCTCGGCCTGTTTCCAGGTCGGGCCCCAAAGCAGACCAGGTAGCTACCAGGTAGGCCCGTTGTTGGGATACAGACCGGGCGGTACCCGGCCTGGTCAAGTACCTACCTGGTAGGCCCTTTGTTGGGATGCAGACTGGCAAGTACTGGGGCCACGACACAGGCTGGTAGCAATTGCTTATCAGCTTGCGAAGCCCTGGGCCTCCAACCTGAACAAAACAAGGCAGGCAGAGGCATATCATACATTCGTAGCAGGCAGTATCTCTTGGCAGTGGTGGAGCAGGGCTGGCAACGACGAGAACCCAGGAGGAAGAAGCAGCCCAGCAGTAGCTGCTGCCCATGCGCCTGCCACAGCCGAGCAGGGCAGCCAAGGGCAGGAGATGGTGGTGAGTGAAGAGGAGGTCATAGGGAGAGGAGGCTGTGGGGATAGGCAGAGACTGAGCTGGTGTACAGTGGAAGAACACCTATGTGGTCCGACTCCTCGTGGCACTTGATGAGAGAGAGAGAGAGAGAGAGAGAGAGAGAGAGAGAGAGAGAGCAGTTGGACTGATGAAGATGGTTCTCACCCCTCCCTCCATCCTCGTTCTACTACTGCTCTCCCCCTCTCTCTCTCGTTCGATTGTGTGTGTGTGTGTGTGTGTGT